TCTCACAGACTGCTCGCGTCTGTCTGCGTTAAGACCCAATAGGCGGTCTCCTGAGTTTACGTTCGGCGCCGGTTGTCCCCTGTTTCCGTCTGTTCCCGATGCCTGTCCATGCCCGTCCGTGTTCCCGCCTGGTCTGGGTTTGACTACTGCCGTCCCTGACCTGACGCCTCGTCGGTAGCCATGCCTATTGAACTTCACCCGTAGGGCTTGGTAGGCAGCCGGCAAATTTACGCAGCGGTTGATCGAGGTAGTTGTGGTGTGCCAGGCTTCGAGCGTCTCCCTGACCGTTTGATCGCTCCCTTGGCCCAAGACTTCGGCGTCTTGGATAGCGAAGGCATGGCCAAATGCTGCGCAGTGTTCCGCCACCAGCGAGAGCTGATCCATTCTTCTTACCGCTCTAGCGTGTTCGTCCATGCGGGTCTGCAATCTTTTCCCGGTTTTTCCAACGTAGTTTTCCTCGCAGGAACTACACGGGATCCGATAGACGACGTTGGCAGTTTCGCCTCCTGGCAGAGGCGTTTTCGGTCTCATGACCAGACGTCTAATTGTCGCTTCGGGTTGGTGGGCGATGTCGATACCCAATGGTTGCAAGATACGAGCGACTGCCTCGGAAACGTTCGCAATATATGGCAGCGCTCGCCAGACTTTTGGTTGATTTGCCGTTGACTTTATGGTTGGTCCGAACAGTCTACTGCGTCCTATAAAGCCGCGGGGGTAACCGCTTGAGGTGAACATTCGTCGTAGATAGTGGAGTCCGGCTACTTTGTCGGTCGGTTCGCTGTAGTGAGTGTCAACTCTCTTGTAGAGAGATCGAACACAGCTCCATTTGTGACACAACGAGTGATTGCTGTGGTAGGACTGGACTTGCCGAGTGTTAGTGGCCTTCCTGTGGACCGTCGTTTTCGGGCTCCCGTTGACCTTACGATGAACCAGAACGCCTAGGAACGCGATCTGATTGTCGTTCTCTGTCTCCATGGTGAATTGAATATCTGAGAACACAGAGTTCAGTAGCGCGTGGAATTTTGAGACCATTTACCATTTGAGAACGACGAAAGTTTCGTCCATATACCGCGCCTAAATTTTGGCTTGTATGTTGCAAACACCAACGCCTCCAGCCTTTGAAGAACAGCTTCAGCGATGAAATCGGATAGCGATGAGTCCATCGGCGTGCCTTTGATTTGCTCGTACACACTCCCTTCAAAGGTGAAGAACGTTTGGCGGCATTATTTGAGTAGTTGCACTATGTGTTCCCGCTTAGGGGTATTTTTTGCCTCCATATATTGACTGTCGAGAGGGTCGCTGACAGTTTCAACTGCCAAACTCTTTAGGATCGAAGTGAAAAGTCAGGCTACATCGAACGATACCATGGCCTCGTCTGTGTTAATTTGTAGCCCTCTCAGTCTTTCCAGGAAATGGACTGATGAGCGGACCGTCGTACCTGAGACTGAGGTGAGGCAGTTGAGACGTCGGAACATCCATTTGGCCAGGTTAAATGTAGGTGTCCCGCACATTGGATTGGACGGAGTGGACGCGATGAGACGGAGCGGTGCAACTTCTTTGTTTATTTTGGGTAGCCCGTTGAACCCATAGCTCGTGGAATTGTGAACATTCCATGTATGATTAAGTTTTTGCAAAAAGGACTGTTTATTTTGCCGGTAACGCACAGCACACCGTCCAAATTCATGCAAATAACCCATTTTCCACATATTCCTGAGAAATCGAAATAAATCAGTGAGAAGTATTTGCCATTAGACTTCACGTAGCGTTAGTGCTCACCGGTTTCTCCCGGCTGAAAGGCGAAAACGCACAGACTGCAGCGTAGTGGTTAGTTCTTGCTACTCGAGAAGTACAACCAGCCGAGTCAGGTAGCGCCCGAAAAGTAGTTTCAGGCTCATTTAATTTATCAGGCATTGGTGGGAGAAAATTCTGCCAAACGGTCGTCGAAAGTTAACTTTCAGACAAAACACCATAAGAGTCCTGAACCAGTAAAAATGGGCGGACACGGGAATATGAACCGCCCCCATGCTACAGTTGGTTTTGCGCCACATTTCAGGGGAGACATTTATTCCTGTGTCCTGACTTTATTACGGGTCACAACCTGATGCTTTGAACTCCTGTCAGTTGTCTATTAGGCATTTTTGAGCTTAACAGTTGAACTGCGGCTCCACAATTTGCGTAAGCACGTTAAATACCTCAGATATGGGTCATTTCAGTGCCTGTTGGCCACTTCAGTTACAGGGCTCATTCATTACTTAAGTGTATTATCAGTGATGGTCTGTAAATAGTCGATATCCTGCAGTTTGCATACTAAATATGACCCCCTGCTTGTGACGTAAATACTAAAACTTAACTGATAAGTATAATTCAAACTAGTCGTAAAGTTAATTGGCTAACATATGTTTTCAATAATTCCACATCAGGCCTGTACATTTACAGGAAAGAGGAATTACCGGAAACATATGTTAGCCAATAGACTTTTCAATCGAAATATGGGAATTTTCGCAGAACTAGTCGCAAATTTTTAGAAGGGAGCAATAAGTAGAATTACTGGCTTTTAGGAGAAGGAAAGTTATGACTAAATTGTATGCCATTTCCTTGGTCGGTATTGTGCAACAGCGCACAACCATGTGTGTATACACATTGCGTCCCTTAACCGCCAATCCACCCTTTTCTTGACTTTCTTAAAAAAAACAGGCAATTCACAGGACAGCGTCCCTCATTCCTATGTAAAGCCCTACAAGTGTTACGTGAAATATGTGTTAATCGCATTGCCAATAGAGGGAGCTACATCGCACCAGTCAATCTAACTGTCAAAAGAAGAGGGGGCGTTCACCGGGAGGGGTTTATTTGAGATCCGACGTTTCGGGTAGTTTATTCGTCTACCCATCTTCAGGGACTGGGAATAAACTACCCGAAACGTCGGATCTCAAATAAACCCCTCCCGGTGAACGCCCCCTCTTCTTTTAATATGCCACCTGGGAATCGGATTTTCACTACTATTGATACAATCTAACTGTGTTTACAGGCCAGCTAACCGCGAACACCACTGTCCTTATGCACCCTACTCATGCACCTGGAAACAGTGCAAGAAATGCTCTTTGGTGAGGTTCACCTGTGATCATTTGATCTGGAATTTGCAGTAAGAGTGCACTAATTAGATTTCCTGACAATTTAGAAGGGGTGAACTACCATGTTTAATAGGAACAGGCTAATACTCTCGGTGTCTCTACTTCATCAGTCCTAATTCGCTTCACTGCCCAAATGCCAGAATCTGAATCCACGGTAGTTTTAGATAACTTACAAATGATGGTATTTCGCTCGGCAGGTGTTCAACCAGTCGTCATCCTATACCCGGTCATTTAGTAAGTTTAGATTATATCTAACGAAAAAACTGTTGAAGACCTCAGTACTGACCTAATCCGTTTCGATAGGAACGGCAAACACGTTTTATTCCCGTATTTACGTGGATCTTATGGAATTTCTTATATTACATTTTACCACAAGTTAATAAAGTCAACAAGCACATCGGTGGTAGATCTGTGGCTCACCTTGTACAGTAATAAATCTTTACCTCCCACAAGAGACCACAGGGGAGACGCTCTGGAACAACATGGGAGCCATACTGGGGCACGACACGCGATAACCGGGCTTCACAGAGTCCGCGCACGTGGATTCTGACGACGTCCACCGAGTGCCCCACAGCAGAATGGAGACAGGGACGGTGAATTGCCAGCGAATTCGTCTTTAGTGATAGTGGCCTGCGCTTCATCCACCGCGCTCCCTCCTCCTCACCCGCCTGGGTCCGGCGTCATGTGAGAGTCATGAAGACCGGAGGCGGTGGAGGGCGCAGGAGAATGGTACGGTAGAGCCCGCACTTTGGCGTTCCACTCCACAATCCCTGACCCACAACAAACACTTGGCTAGTATTTTAACCAACAACAACTATGGGGGGGCAGGGGTCCCAACGTGCGCGACGTCTGCCGGCACCTGGGTCTGCCACTGCATCCTGAAAGGTTGGCATCTGTTTTGGTGTGCATTTCGATAACGCCTGCCAAAATCCGATATGGCTCCTGTGTTTGTCCAGCGCATCTACCGCGTGGCCCGTCTGGGACACACACACACACACCAGGATTTCACACAAAGGGGGTGGGCGGGTTAGATCTCACATTTGAGAAAATGCTATGGAGGTCACATTAGGAAGGAGCCATTACAGTCTGGCTCAAGTCTATCAGGCAATCATTCCACACAAACACACTCTGGCCAGCAGGGTGATTGCGCTGAATCCCCTCATCAAGTAACTGACTGACTCAAGCAGTGAACTGCTGCGTGACAAAGGGATGAGAGAATGAGGTTGACTCTGGATATCCTATCATCACATCATCTCAGCGCGTACTCCCCGCTATAATAAATCTGGCGCTCATGATTATATTACGACGTGCTAGACGTCGAGGGCTGGAGGGCTGCCAACTGACGGGATAACTCGATCGGACGGAGATTCAGGCTTCGATGGCCCCTTCTTATCGCGGCTTCCATGGCGTCCCCACCCCAGAAGGGAGCCTTGCCGCCCCCTTATTTCAGCGGAAATGTGATCAGACGTGCCAGGCCCAGGTCGTGCGTAGCATGCGTAGACGTTCCGTTCGACTTTGTCCGTCACCGCGCTCGTGCCTACCTCCGATCATGGCGGCTATCTTGTCATCAGATGCTCAGATGCTCGAGGGAGGACAGAGTGAGTCAGGTGTGCGCAAGTCAGCTATCACTATACGAACTACTTCTTGCACACTCCACCGCTGCTGCGTCCAAACTGTGAGGCAGCCGGCTGACAACACCGTTTTGATAATCACACAATAATTAACCAGTACGCTAAATAGGGGGGGCTGCTTCCTGCTTTTAAAACGGCTAACTTTATTCTGGCTGTGCAAGGCTGGCACTGCGTGGTCCTCACAGTACACAATTTTCTTCTCTCCTCGTAAAGCCTTGATGACACCTTTGGGGACTTGTCAATGTTAAACGTGACAGAACAGGCCATGGTGCTTAATCTGCTCGAATTCAGCCGCATCCTCCCTTCAGACCTGGCAGGCCTCAACGAAAAAAAAATTGACTCCCAGCAGGATGCTGATCAACTAGTGCTTGTCAAAGACACCGATGGAAATGGACAGGTGAGTTTGTTCTAATCACTTCTGGCAGCGTTTGCGATGCGCAGGGGTGACTGCACCAGTAACGATTATCTTCTGTCCCCTTACCCTTGTTCTGAACGTCCTTCTACTTTCTGACAACCGGGTAAGGGCAGTGATCCACGCTAAAATTAACTCAGGTGACGCTCCGTTGACCATGCAAAAATCACAATGTGGAATTTATCCCTGTTGAAGGTGGGGACTCTGAATAGGGCGTAGGTGAGGGCTCGACAAATGCACGACATCAGTTGCCATAAGACCGTCCACTCATATGGAGTCCGAGTCAAACATTCTGTGGCCTGGCACATTTGAATTGGGGTCATGGAACTTTTTTGGCTTTGTTTACCACTGAGTCCAAGCCTACCTTCAGTCATCCCATCATTGTTTTGCTCTAGGAGCAACGTGGGCGAGGAGAGAGCCAGTTTGTTAGTTTCCGCGCGAAGCAGCCTCTCTGTGAGCCTCGAGCGTTGAACCCATTACATAGGCCACGCGTTTGGCATCGTCCCTTCCAACACTCCACGTTGTTGATGCGTACCAAGATACGGAAGCACAGTGCGTGACCGATCTCATGAAATGTTGGCCGAAATTCTGACATTCTTTTTTGATTAGTAAGGATTACTTAGGTGGGGTGGTTGTAATAGTGATTAGCATACGGCATAATCCTATAGCATTTCGGACTTGCCAAGGTGTCGCCTTTTGGATTCATTTCTTCTTGACCTCCTGCAGACGCTGTACGCGGTAAAAATTGACTACTTAAGTAGCATGCATTTTTCCTATGAGTTTTCGATATATATATTTACATAAAGTGTACACAAAATAAGCTTTCTTTTACTCATTTGGTAGAAAATAACATTGTCTTTGCATTTTAGGCACGAAGAAAGAGTATAACTGGGTTTTGAAAAGTTTCCAATTGTGAGATTTTAAAGACGGTGCGACGTCCATGCATACAGGACCGCACATGCCCGTTTACCACTGTTCCTAATGAAATGGACAACACAGTTCGGATTCATTGCGAAGTTTTATGAACGCTATGTGATATCTTCTCAAAGGCATAGAGGAATATATTATTTTCTTTACGCGGAAAACATGCACCTTGTTGACTGAAATCGCTGAACACTGATGCACTGGCACATCAGGCTTAAAAATATTCGGGAATTGGGAAGTTTTTTAAAACCTAAATATACACTTTCTTCGTGCATAAAATGCAAAGACAACGTTATTTTCTACCAAATGAGTGAAACGAAGCTTAGTGTTGTGCACGTTTTATATAAAATATATTTGAATTTATACGACCATCGAAAACTCATAGGACAAATGCATGCTACTTAAGTAGTCATTTTATACCGCGAGTCCAAAATGCTATAGGATTATGCCGCATGCTAATAACCATTACAACCCCACCTAAGTAATCCTTACTAATCGAAAACGAATGTCATAATTTCGGCCAACATTTCATGAGATCGGTCACTCACTGTACGTAATGTCACGGCCTCTAGCAAGCCATCGTAGTCCGAAAGCGGCTCACATTAATTCTAATGAGAAGAGTGTGCGTCGTATATGCACTGAGTTGGCCTGATCCCCCTCCCCTAATGCATCACCTGTCAGTGACAAGTGCGAGTCTGACGGACAGTAGACGGGATTAGGCGCATTGGAGCAAAAGTCTTATCGAGCACCAGAACCAGTCATTTATTCTTCTGAACTATAAATTCGCCCAGTGGCCCGTCTTGTGGAAGCCTTGTGTGATTCGTGCGCGTGAGAATCAGCAATCAGCGGGCCATCCGGCCATGCATGTGCTCCTGGCGAGGGGTGTGCGTTCAGAGGTTTGATCAGAAGATAACAAATCGACGTTTGGCCCTCCCTATGTCTAGCACAGAGTCCTTCCCCTCAAAACCGGTTACATGCGCAAAATTTGTGTAAAAATCGAACTCTAAATACATGAATATCTAACCGGAAGATGGAAGAGGAATAGGAAAACTAAATCCTCTTTCCCACCAGCGGGAAACTTCAGACAACAGCCCCGACAGGAGACAGCCATATTTGCTGAACTCCGCAATCTCTTCCTTCCCTGCCAGTTAGTCAAATTACAATAGAACACACCCTCAAGGAAAATGTACGTAAGAACCACCTTCGTGCATCAAACCTGTCTCGGAAACCATCTTTCTAACACCGGAGCTCCTTAGAATACTTCCTACCATCCACCGCTACCTTAGACGATCCACTGTGACGATCGAAGCGAAATCCGACGGAAAATTATAGCTTATGATGGACCGGTCAAACGGAGTCTCAGGTTGTAAGAAAGCACCGCAGAAGGGCATATTCTTTAGGTGCAAGCATTCTTGGACAGGAAGAGTTCGAGAAATTAACAGCTCTCCCTCTAAAGTCTGGTATTCCGATGCTAGGGTTATCGACTGTTTTATAAGGCCTTGCCGCAACACCTCTCGCTTGAATAGACTAGGGGACAAAGTAGGTGGTTTCTTGACAGTGTATTTTAATGGGGAACCGATCAGTAAGCTTTGCTATTTGATTTCCGAAAAAGGCAGTCTTACCTAAAAAGTGGTAAAATGATTTACAAGCAGTCTACCAGAAAATGAGGGTCATTTGTGCACTTGTCTGTCGTTTGATAAATAGTAAGAATTAAATTTAACATTAATTTCACTGTCAGATGCCCACCCATTAAAAGAATGGAAGTGTCTAGACGTCTCCGAGGAACGAAAATGCGTCTTGCAAGAGGACCGGAGACGGGAGAGGGCGCAGGTGGATGGCATGGTCGAGCCTGCACCCTGAAGTCCCAAGACTAGGCGCACTAGCAGGCAGTTCCGTAAGATTGTGGGACTTTTCGATGCCTAGCCTTCAGGTCCCTGTCTGACCAAAAATACGACAAGGTACGAGAGGTAGTACAGTTCCATTGCTCTGTAAAGCGTTTTAGGATAGAAAGTGAAGTCTACGTTCGGAAGTTTAATAAAAAAACGCAGGCATAGAATTTCTCATAGGGAGCGGCTTGGGACGAGCATGCCAGCGTTTTAAGGAAACATTTTTGTGATGTAAACGTGGTACGCAATAGCTTTTTCATAGTTTTCGACAAGCAAAGCAGAGCATGTCAATATAAAGCGCCTAGGGAGTTCACGAAACCAATGTCGACTGAAGAAACCATTTGAGGTAAGCGGCATCCAGTTAGAGTTAAATCACGGTCCCTCCTCCCCAATAGAATCCTGCCCCAAAATTCCCGCGTTATGCCAGCTGTGAGGATATGTCGAAAAGCAGTGTAAGAAAAGGAAACGAAATCACCAAACTTAAAAGAATGAGGTTACTAAGCTTCCCATCTTTGCATTATAGGTCAGGAGTGTAGGGACCTGCCTATTACAGGGGCTTTTCGCTAATCTCCGGTGAGATTAAGGTTAGCGTTAGTGTCGGGGTTATGGCTTGGGTTACCGTTGGGGTTGGGATAAGAGATGATTTGCCGTTTCCAGAATCTTGCGTAAGACCACCTGTAATGCTGGCGGAGGAAGGTTCTATTCCCGTGCCTAATCTTTGTGCAAAATAACGCATGATCGATTGGCTTTGCCGAAGTTCATGCGTAAGCTAGTACCAGAGCTACCTAAATTAACCCGTTAGAACCCATTACGGGTTTTAGAAAAACCCCATCATGCCACACGACGCTGGCCATGAAATGGTCAGTTTGCAGTATGTTACTTTACTGCTACTGTCACAACCTCGTTAGGGTTGAACCCTTAGAGCTATGGGCCGATCAGAAGAGGAACTGCTGTCGGCAAGAGCCTCAATGAACGCCGCTTCAGATTTGGATATTTTCATGGAATAACTTGAGGTAGAACACGAGTACGGGTACCGGTAGCCTTCAGTAAAATTCCAAGAGGTCAGGGTCAAGGTTAGGGTTACGGTCAAAAGTGGGGCTAGTTTGAGGGTTAAGGTCGGAAAACGGGACTAGATGTGCCTTGGAATCTAGAATCAAGCCACCTGTCAGCAAAAGTAGGATGAAGGAACCCAATTAGCTGTCAACAGACTGTGGATCGTGTTATACGGGAATTATTTTAATGGGGGGGAGTTTACGGATGGAGTAGTACGCCAGGACAGTAAGTTGACAAAGCGCAGAAAAACACAGAAGACGGGCGAAAACAATGCTTTCGATTCAACTGATGAATGTATGCATATATGGTATCCAGGTGGATATTCAATAGTGTCTCATTTTGAATGAATGCCTGGCCATCGAACAACTGCTATCCCTCAATTCATGCTCATTTGATCTCCGTTTTTTCGTCCCTTACTCTCGGATACAACCGACATTTATCAGAACTTAACTGGATTTCTCAAGTACATACATCAGCACACGATCCACAGTCTTCCAACAGCTAATCGGGGTCCTTAACCCTACCGTTGCCCACCTGCCATACCGAGGGGTGCCGATTCCTGTGCCTCGTCTCTTATGACACTCCCAACCCGGTTCCGGTTTTCTTTTCCAAAAGTGATTTTTTGTTGGTTGAGTAACTGACCGTAAGAATTTTTTCAGTTGCTAACAGCTACTCGTCTGGTATAAATCAAAGTCTGACAAATTCTTCCATGCCGTCCACTCCATTACATTAACGCTGAACTATATCGAAATATTTTGTCGGATGATTAGGAGAGCGCCATCGCCAGCAGCGCCGTAAGTGTGTTCTTCAAAAATATGACAAAAATATGCAAACAGCAGGCCCGGCTGATATCCGAACAATGATCATCGATGCTCGGGGTCTTCTGGTCATTTGCCCAGCAGGTCTGACAGCTGAGCTACCGGTCCATGTCGTCGGCTGTGATTGAAGACACTCAAAGGGGTTTATCAGTGACATTCACATAACTGGACCTAGATCCTAGAACTTTCTGCCATTTGATTGGTCAATGACGATAAATACGCCGCAGCTGGTTTTTCCAGGATCCTTTGTTCAATCGATCTGGTCTGCCGGATTACCGACCTCCTACAAGGGCTCGATAATGAACGCAAGGACAAATGAATCGCTCGTAGTCCGCTCTGAAATTGGGTCAAATCAGAAAATGCTGGTCTTATGTGACATCTGTGGCTTCAGTGCGGGATGCGGTGGCCGACCCAGTTGCCGGCAGACTTCCCGCATCTTGGGACACCTGCCGCCCCCCAGTGTTGTTATTGGTTAAAATCCTGGTCATTTTCTGTGGAGTGGAACGCCAAGGTGAGAGCTCGGCCATGCCATCCACCTGAGCCCTCCCCCGTCTCCGTTCTTTTTGACTCTGTCTTACCATCGGGTCCAAGGGGGAGGGAGGAAGAGAGAGTGCGGTAGATGCAGTGCTAGTCTACATTCACTATAAATTAAATCACGCGGAAGTCACTGTGCCTGCTTCAACTTGCTGCGGAGCACACGGTGGACATCGTCGGATGCGACAGTCGAGCTGTCGTCTATGGTTTTCGCACTACCTGAACTGCACTATGCTGTTGGACTAAAGTGTAGCATTGCCACAAAAATGAAATACAGAGCTCCAACTATTGAAAGACTTGAATTTGATTATCCAAAGCATTTTGCCCCTGGAGACGCAGTTAAAACGGCGAGCTGCCGAAGTTGACTGAGGCGGCGCGGAGAGTCCTACGCCACAACAGGGGGATAAGGTCAACTGGAGTAACTCCGTACTGCTTCCTTGTCTGTAAATTCATGGAACCCTTTACATATATGGCAATTGCCTCGCTTGCCTTGTAATACAAACGTGTCTAAACCAGGCTTCGAGGTGTGAAGCACTATCCATGCAGTCCAAACGCTTGTGACGTCGGCAAGTATGGACTACATTCCCGCCACTGAGGGTAAACAAAGCCTCTTCAAATTACCACTACCCCCTCCCTCTCTCTCTCTAGGTCATGCGGAAAGCCAGTCTACTGAAGATTAGACACATGGAGGAGGTGACAGAAAGGCAACTCAAGACCTTCAGACGCTCCTCACACGTACGAAGAAGCCTGCTCTTTCTGCTCTTCCTGGCCTACCTCTTCGCCAAGGGTTTCTGCGTCGCTCTGCACATAACCACGAGGACGGATGAAAGTGTCTTCCAGAACGCGCTTGTTTCAGTCTTAAGACCGGAAACGTGAAAAAAAGCTATCAGTCGATTTTTGTCGAACCATCCTGTCAAGTTAAGATAAAAATGATACTATTCCACTACTGCTTACAACTATCTTGTTATAATAGGGGTGTGGAATTCTTTGCTGGCAAAGTGACGCGTATAAGCCAAAACAGATTTCGGTGTTTATACGCGTCACTTTGCCAGCAAAGAATTCCACAGTACTCAACAATGGATACCCTGCACAAAGAATTCCTTTGTTATTGTTCGAGCAGATCGGATTCCCAGCTCAAGGTCAGAATACAAAACAAGTTAATTAAAAGAACGCCGATCGCGCTCAAAAAAGGTTACAAAAGGGGAAGGGGAATGTCAACAGGGGCCAAATGTGGAAGCACTTGAGAGGAGGGCGTGGAGAATTCCAAGCGTTGACCAGCTGGATACAACAAGGAGTCAACGGTTTTCTTCTTCGGGAAGGCGTGATGGGTCGGCACGGAGTGTGTGGACATCCCCATGTGGTAAAGTTGGCCTCCCGCTAAATTGCAGTGAGCACCTATTTCCCTGTCCTAACTTCAATCCTGGCTCTAATCTTAAACCTGGAGATTAGGGTAGGTCCACCTGTAATACGGGGGTTCATATTTCCCTGCCCAACTTAGATTTGATGCAGACGGATGGCCTTAGTGATCCCGTGATAATCTATAAGGTGAATAATTTGCCCTAGGACCCGCTGTCTCTGATTGTCACGCACGAATTTGACTTCGCGAGCGTGCGGATAATGCCGTGAGCTAGCAATAAGACCAGATTGGGACTGATGGAGGGCTGGGTGTCTGATATCAAATCAGTCCACGGACTCGTTACTATGGTTTTTCGACCGTCGCATCCGACGATGTCCACCGTGTGCTCCACAGAAAGGTGAAACAGGCATGGTACCTTGAGAGGCACTTACCACACTCTCTCCTCCACACCTGGATCCGGTGTCAAGACAGGATCAAGAAAACCAGGGGAAGGGCGCAGGTGGATGGCGTGGCCGAACCCGCACCTTGGTGCATCACTCCAAACCCACTGGTCCACAACAAACACTTGACTAGTATTTTGACCAACAAAAACAACAGAAAGGACGTGGATGACTGGGAAGCCATGCACAAAACCTGTAAATACAGCGGGATCGTAGGCACATCTACCGCCAGAGAACCGCCAGGGCACGCCAGACTGCGAGGGCTACGGTTTTCTGATCATGGCCTAGAAGTGTGACATCCAGCCCTGCAATTGCCTGGACCATCACCCTTCAAAGGCTGGGTAATCAGTCAGTCAGCGACTGAAGGGCACTGCCCATTAAGTAACACACACTACCCACATGCGTGAGAGTGCAGAGGTCACTTTAAGAGGGGGCGGTGACAGCCTTGTTCTCGGCTCACCAGTCCGCCACTCCGCACATATACACACACAACTGGGCAGACGGCGTGGACTGAGTTGGGGCGTCAGTGGGCTGCCTTCCGAGCCACGGCGCTCGACGCATCGTCTTCGTCTCAGACTCCGACCGCACATGCAGCAAGGGAGCTGCATGGCGAAGGGGCCGAAACGCACGCTTCCCACTTGCGTGGGTGATGATATTTGGGTGCTTGTGGCGGGTGATGTTGATGTGCGGTGAGATGCTGGTAATGGAGACTGTGATGGTGTGGTGCAGCCGGCGGTTGGCTACCGCAGGTTATCGTGGACGCGCATGTGGCCTAAATGAACCATCCGGTGCGTTAATGTGCGAGGGCAGTGTGGACAGTGGAGGCGCATGCGGCGAGTGTAGGTTGGTGTTCCAGGCACTGGCTTACCAGTCTCTGTACAACGGATTCAAAGTGACCGACCGGGCCGATGTGAGAGTTGAATGTACGGGGACAGTGTGGGCATGAGAAGTCGGCGGCGTCGGTATCAGGCTCGGTAATGGTGATGGTGGAGCTCGTGGTGGTTGGCGCGCTGGGCGACAGGAGGTGAGATGAGCTGAGAATGGCAGGTGTGCTGAATGTGCGATGAGTATAGGTTGGTGATCCAGGCACTGGTTTTCCAGCCTCCATGTGACGAATTCGCAAGTGACTGACCAGGTCGATGTGTGAGGTGAATGTGAGATCGCAATGGGGACAGGTATGAACAGAGTTCACATCGCCGGATGTGGGGTATTGGTGATTTTTGAAGTTGGTGGGACGTCAGACCTCGTCCCATCGTTGGGAATAGCGCATGAAGTCGTGTTGGTGATGATGCTGGCAGCTGCGATCATTGCAGGGGTTGGGACAGCGGTAGTGTGTTTGGCGGTGACGGGGGTGGTGGTCGGCGCGGGGTTTGCGGCAGGGGCGAGAGTGGGAGAAGAAGCAGGCGTCGAGTTTATGGCGTATTGGATCCGGCGTCCAACGAGACCGGTTCGTACGCGGAATGCGCGTTGGCAGCGCGGACATGTTGGAGGCGGAGGATAGTAGACATTGCGGCAGCGAGGCACTTGTGATTTGCGAGCCTCCCGCTGGGCCTTGGCGGCGGCGATCCGATTTGCTCTGTGATTGACTGCACCAGTTTTCAATTCTCTTCTCCAGGTTGATCTGTTCTGGGGGAGGTCTTTTCCGGTCTCTGGACTGATATGCAGTCGCTTAAGATAATTTTTCAATGTGTCCTTGTAGCGTCGTTTTGTGCCACCCGGTCGGCGAGCATCCGGTAGTGACATCACCGTAGATAGACGTCTATCTTCCATCCTCCAGAGATGGCCGCTCCAGCGTAGCTGCAGTTACTCCAACATGGCGTGAATGCTAGGGATGCTGATCCGCTCTAGGACTTCTGCTTCTGGAACCCTGCCTTGCCATCTCAGATTTAGTATTCTGCGAAGGAAGCTCAGATGTAAGTGGTCGAGTTTCCTGGCATTGCAGGAGTAGTCGTTCTAAATCTCCGCTCCGTAGAGAAGTGCGGTCAGGACGATGGCCTTCAGTTTGGTCTTCAGTTGGAGGCCGAGGCGGTTACGCACGGAGTTTTGTAGCCGGCTGAAGGCTTGTATGGCTTTGGAGATCCGGTTGGCCACCCTGACTTCGATTCTGATGCAGAAAGACATTGTGCTGCCTAGGTAGTTGAAGTTATACACGGCCTTCATTTGAACACCGTTGACGCGGATGCGAGGGACACCGTATACAGCGGTCGATGACTGTTGATACATGTTCATCATCTTGTCCGTACTGACGTCAGTCCGAAGTGGGCGCGGCCGGAGGCGAAGAGATCCACGCTCCGTTGCATGTCCTCTTCGATCGTACTGCTGAGTGTGCTACCACGCCCTTCGTTGGCGCGGCTACTAGGTACGACCCAATTCCCAGCCAGGGACGCACGCCGTCACGACGCCGTGATACGGCGCGGACCCAGCCATATCGTGAACACAACCCCCTCCCCCTCCCTTCCGCTAACTACAAAACTGGTCATTTGATGTTGCACTTATTGTCCCAGTAATCGCCCGTTCACCTTCTTTGCAACAAGAACCTAGGGCTCCTCCATTGTGGCAAGAGCACTGAAGTTGGAAGAGACATTCGCAATAGTGGAAGATTTCGTTTTTGGGTGTGCTTTGAGCGTAAAAATCATCAGACCAGTCCCTATTAGCAGGAGAAGACCAAACGTATCAGAAGGGGTGAGGGGACGAGGGGGAATTTATCGTGCGCAGAACTGCGTCGCTGTGCCCGGCAGTAATTTCTAGCCAGGTCAGAGCATGTTCTAACGGTGGTAAGTCGAGCCCGAGGGAGAGTGCGTGTGTGTGCTTGTAACGGCGGTTTGTGAAGCTGGTATGAGTATCATATGTCCGAGTGGCTTGTTTTATTATACAAGGTAAGAGTGACTCCAATTGTCTGAATGCTCGCGTTACAGCCAAACAGGCCGCAAGTTTACCGAAACCGCTCGCGGTGAAGTTGAATAATCCTGACGTAACAGCACATTGAGCAAGGACGGTGGGCGTCGCAGTGATGTTATCTGGCATATAATAGGGATAGTAAACTACTTCTTAATTCCTATGGATCTGGAAGACATTTGCGATGAGGAAGTTGGAAACAGAGAGGTTAAAAGCAACGTGCGATCCATTTAAGCAGGTCGAAGCTCGGGCAACGGTAGGGTGAAGGACCCCGACTAGCTGTAGGTGGACTGCTGAGCGTGTGCTGACGTATGTGCTTGTGAAACCTAGTTTGGCACTTATGACTGGCAGTTGTACCCATGAGCGGGGAAGCAAAACCGGAGATCAACTGAGCATGAGTCGATGTAAATCATAAATGTTTGCAAGGCTGAGGACTCAGTTCTCCGAAGGTCAGGGACTCTTTCAAGATGGAACGCCTTGGAACATGCAGCTGGAAACCATATCTGCATAAAATCATCATTTTACTCAAAAGCATCGTTTTTGTCACCGACCGTCTTCTGTGTTTTCCTGCATTTCGTCACCTTACTTCCCGGCGTAAAGCCTCCATTACCACTGTTACCGTACGAGATGATCCAGAGTATATCGACAGCTAATTGAGGTCCTTCACCCTACCGTTGCCGAAGTCCGAAATCCCTTTAAGCTCCCTAATTCGAACAGTACAGAGGCTGAGAACGACTCAGGTGAGGATAACCAAACTATCAGCAGTGTTGCGCAATAAAAGTCATTTAAGCACTACCCAAATTTGCAGTTTATCTGATTGCTTGAAAGTTTTGGCAGCAAAAGGTGCCAGGACGAACACTGAGCTTATCGGGGCGGCTAAAGCCGTGGGCGGCCCCTAAGTATCACAACCTCGGGCCGGGTGGGTAGTGGGAAGAGGAGAAATCAGACGACAGTAGAGAGAAAGGAAGAGTAAATTGCGCTGTGTAGAAAATAAGCAAAAAAGAAATTGGTGCATGTCGGTGGTCCAAAGAGAGGCGCACAAACTTAGCGCCCGGCGTAGGCGTCGGAATGTTTTAAGTGAGGACAAGGCCGCGTCAGGCTTGAAGATAATAAGTCTAAATGCAGGCAGTTTCTCGGTTTCAGGGATTGGCCAGACTCGATGGGAGCACCATAGTGGGCTCCTGAATATCAGGCGGGCGACCGCGTACGCGCAAGTATGCGCCAGACAGAGGTGCAGGGGTATTGCAGGCGCCCCCACTGACCACTGGTCGAGTTCTTGGCCAATTCAGATGGCGATGATGATGATGATGATGATGATGATGATGATGATGATGAGGAGGAGGAGGAGGAGGAGGAGGAGGAGGGGGAGGATGGCGGTGGTGTTGGTGGTGGTGGTGGTGGTGGTGGTGGTGGTGGTGGTGGTGGTGGTGGTGGTGGTGGCGGCGGCGGCGGCGGATCAAACTCAAAAAGCACAAACAGGTATTTGGGAACAGACCCTTTTTCCTACAGCAGTTGCAGCGATTACTCTCCAAAGTACAGAGTTGGGTATCGAAAGCACAGTGAGTGACCTATCTCATGAAATGTTGGCTGAAATTCTGAAATGCGTTTTCTATTAGGAAGGATTACTTGGTCGTGGTTGTAATACTGATTATCTTAGGGCATACTCTTATAACATTTCCGACTTGGCAGGATATTGGCTTTAAAATGCACTTCTTTTCAATCTCCTGTAGAAAGCATGCTCGATACAAAATGACTACTTAAGTAGCATGCGTTTTTCCCATTGATTTTCGATGGTCTTGGAAATTCAAATATATTTTATCGAAACCACAAACAAAAATATGCTTCCTTTTAATCGCTCAATAGAAAGTCACGTTTTCTTTATATTTTATACTTAAGGAAGAAATATAATTAGGTTTTAAAAAAGTTTCTAATTATGAGACTTTTTAAGACCGCGAAAGGTCCATTCACATAGCCTCGTACCTGGCCGTTTACCACTGCTCCTCATGAAATGTACAACATGGTCCGCATCCATTACAAAATTTTATGGACTCTGTATGATATCTCTTTAATGGCATAGAAAAATATCTGATTTTCTTTACGCGGAATGCATGCACCTTGCAGACTGAAATTACTAAGCGCTAATGCAACGATTGATCAGCCTCCAAATTATTCGGCAATTGGAAAACTTTTTTAAAACCTAATTATATTCCTTTCTTAAGTATAAAATATAAAGAAGACGTGATTCTCTTTTGATTGGCTAAAAGAAAGCATATTTTTGTTTATGGTTTCTATAAAATATATTTGAATTTCCAAGACCATCGAAAATCAATGGGAAAAACGCATGCTACTTAAGTAGTCATTTTGTATCAAGCACGCTTTCTACAGGAGATTAAAAAGAAGTGCATTTTAAAGCCAATATCCTGCCGAGTCTGGAATGTTATAAGAGTATGCCACAAGATAAGCAGTATTACAACCGCGACCAAGTAATCCTTCGTAATCGAAAACGCATTTCAGAATTTCAGCCAACATTTCATGAGATAGGTCACGCAATGTACGTACTCAAATAACCTCGACAGAGTTTTGTTGCACAAGCATTTGGATGTCATACAATAGTGAACAGATAGGGTTATTGTCCAGAAAGAGAGTCCAGCTTAAATACTTGTTCCTGGCTTATCAAAGGTAGGCCAGGTTTTTGCATCATGTTGTAAGAAGAACTATAGCGCTCAGGAAGTCAGATCAAAATGTTCGCCGATAAAAACTGGAGCGCAGAGTTGCGGTGAAAGCCTCTGTGAGAGAAATTGCACATGGAGAAAGCATATGTATTTTGTTTATTTGCATTGCAGTTTACATTCCTCTAATTTAACTCAGCCTCTGATGGTGGATTCGAGCGTGGATTCGGAACGGCAGGCAACTGTGTCTCCCTCATGCTGAATGGTAGCTGGCTGGAGAAGAACTGCACAGTGCCAAGAGAGCTGCTGGCGAAAGGCTACGGCACTAAACCAGCAACCAGAGCCGGGAATAGGATGACTGTGCAGACTGATAATGCAAAGCAGACGAGGGATACATGTGTGCATGTGTAGGGAAGTAGCCTCAATTAGCATATCTCCAGGTGCACGTTGGTCGAAATGATCAACATTCTTGCTTTCGCCTGCCATCAAGACAGAATGTTCGCAAAATTTTGCAGCCGGAGCAAGAACAACAACTGCCCGCTTTCAGTAAAAGCGTCAGACATTGGAAAAGAAGTCACATTTCACGGAAAATTATTTTAACACTACCAATGCCGGAGTAAACTCCCTTTCAGGGACTGCAGGATGCCTTAAGTCGCTGGATACTTCTCAAAAAATGACGCCTTTTGAGGCAATGGACTATATACTTCTGGTAAGAGATGAAGTCGGAAGGACCATAGTCAATGCTCTTTGACAATCCCACTTATTGCAATATTGTACTGTAGATTTTACATGGGTTGGACAGACTTATAGCTAATCTGTCGCGGCAGCTTAAGTCACAGGCAGATCATAACCTCTACGAACTTAAGATCTGTTCGGGAATAGAAAAAGGATTTGGACGCGTCCGGTGCCGCGGTAGCGGTTCCATTTCCCCCGCAGTGACAGTGGGGTAGCCGTCACAGCGACTTTAGTAGGGCAGGTCTGAGTCGACCCTGACAATGATAGGTTCGCTTGCATAGCTTTGATTGACCGAGAACCAGACTGCCATTGGTACGTGCGCAGGGGTACGCACGAGGTGCAGTGCTGTAAAAGACACTCGTAGCAGAGACACAACAAATACTCCTCCCCTACCTGAAATTGTTTTGTGACAGTTCGACTGTCGTATACGACGGTGTCCACCGTGTGCTCCACAGCAGGGTGAAGCAGGCGCTGTGACTTGTGTCTGATTTAGTTTATAGTGAATGTAAGCTTACGCAGAATTTACCACATTCTCCCCTTCTCCCCCCTTGGACCAGGTGGCAATACAGGGTAAAGAAGACAAGAGGTGGGCGAGGGTGCAGGTGGGTGGCGCGGTCGAGTCCGCACCTTGGCGTACCACTCCACACCCTCTGGTGCACACAGGAAATGACCTGGATTTTGACCAACAACGAAAAGGGGCTGGCGCGCCCGGAGCCGCACCTGGGCGTGCCGCCACACCCGGTTCGAATCCCACGGGGTGGGAGCGCCATAAAGGCCACATTATGAAGGAGCCATTGCAGCCTGACTCTTAGATCACCAGTCGGCCGCCCCACACAAACAAACAACACTGGGCCGACTATGAAGTCCAAATTATCCCGTCAGTCGGCAACCTTTCGAGCCACAGCTTTTGGCGCACGTGGGTATCTTCAAGCGCAACGGTTTTTTTAAAGTGAGAAAAATGCACTGAGTCGTCGACCTCACTCGCCCTTCCCATTCTCGGGCCCAAGTCACTGTCCTAGCCGGTCAATTGACAGACGCGGAGTATGGGCGCGGTGGCTGACACATCTGGTGACCTTTTCTACTCTCAAGACATACACGGTCTGCCCCCCCCCCCCCCTCCAAACACAAACGCCAGGATTTCACACAATGGGGATTGGGCGGCATGCTTATCACATGCGTGAGAGTGTCACAAATCACTTAAGAAGGAGTCGTTTCAGCCTGGCTCTCAGCATATCTGTCCTCACTCCAGATAGATAGACAAACAGGCAGACAAACAGACAGACAGACAGACACACATACTCACACTCACACACACACACACATACACACAACTGGGCAGACTGCATGGACTGAGTTGGGCGTCAGTCAGCAACCTTCCAAGGCACGACGATCGACACACCGTGATAGTCTCAGACTCGAATAACACATGCAGTTGAAGAGCCGCATGGAGACGGAGCAGAGACGCACACTTCCCACCTGCGTGGGAGGTGGCAATTGGATGCTTGCGATTGACGATATTGTGTAATGTAGGTGGGGGAAGATGTAATGCTGTGGTTTAACCGGCAGTTGTCTACTTCAGGTTTTCGTAGATGCGCATGTGGTCTAATAGGCCCATGCGGTGGGTGAAGGTGCAGATGTAGTGAGAGCAGTTGAGGCGGGTGCGGGGAGTGTAGGTGGATGCACCATGCACTGGTTCGCCGGTTACCATGCGATGGATTTGCAAGCGACTGACCAGGCCGATGAGTGAGGTGAATATACGGAGACCGCGTGGGCAGGATAGATCGGTGGTGTCAGCTTCGGTTTCAGTGATGTTGGCGGCAGTGGAGCTGCTGGTGGTGGGCGCGGCGGACAGTGATGCGTGAGTTGGGATAGGTATGGCAATAGACCTTAACCACTTTCTCACTTTCTGTTCTAAACGCCCTATATCCCACCCGCCAGCACACGAACCCCGCATACATTTGCAGCTCTTCGTCTGGCGACTGTGTATTGTAAGGATGTCCTGTATGTTTGATCAGGCTCTGGGTTGCCCTTTTTACTTTCCCACGAACTGGAGTAAATTCTTCGAAGCGCAGCTTTTTTCGCTTGCTCTGGAAGCTGTTATGAATATTTTGGCTGAAATCCATCAGGTTCTGTTAACTTACTGTGTAATTTTCGAAAACTACCAACAGGACGTCAGTGGCATGCAAATACTGACCAAACTCTTGACCATAATGTCACAAAGTTAATATCCGCGAGATTAAGCCTAAGGGAATTGTATAAGCTCATAATATTCGAAAATATGTCGAAGTTAACAGCACTTTTTCAGATCTTTTCAGATTTTTTTTCAGATTTTTTCCAGATTTTTTCAGATTTTTTTAGGATTTAAACTTTTAGTGCGTTGACCGGAAAGAACTCCTTATATCCTACGGAGTCCGCGCTCTTTTCATTTATTCGGTGGATTATTAAGCCACTTCCGAAATTATTCTTAACCGGGTATAATACGGTAAAGTAGACGAAAATGCCAGTGACCTCCGCTCAGCGATGTATTCCATAGCAACCCAACACTAGACTGACTTTAAAGAAAGTCCTGTTATCTTTTTTTGGAGCTTTCGTATATTATTTGGTATACGTTGCCTGAAACCATGGCAACGCATGACAACACCATACATCGTCAACACATTCAGATTTTAAAACAGGCTATTAGCGCTATGAAGCCAGCTCTGAAGGGCAGATGCACAATCCCCTTTTACTATGATAACCCACAAGAGAGCCACGGTAATAAACAAACAGTGGGCGTGAGATGATACAAAACTTCTCACGCCCATTTTTCACCTAAAGATACATAGTCAGAGTGGCCCACTATTGAAATCACTATGAAAAGTGGTTAACAGGAAATGCGATACTACTATTTTCGAACGGTAAGTAGCCCGGTAGATGCCGTCGGAGAAAGATCAACACGGAGGAGACTCGAATCCCGGGCAATCTGGAGAACAGACAGCCTGCTATCAACTGTGCAACTATACAAGACCCAAGTAACGGGTGCACAAGTTAAATCAGGCTCCGAAACTTGTGAGACACTAGCGGATATCGTTATTTAAACTTTAAAGAAGGAAATATTACCTATATATGTTATTACAACAGTATGCATCACGGAACGTAGTATTCGTCATCAGCCAGCCATACC